TCGGAGTCCCAGTTCCTGTGAAACCCACGTGTACCGGAGACCAGAACGTCAATCCACATCAACTCAAAACAACAACACCGAGCAAACCGCAGCCAAAGCCAGTTCCTGTAGCTGAGCCTTCAATAACTACTCAACCCAGCAACCAGGACAAACCTCAGCGTAAGCGCGACTTCTGCGGATACGTCTGATCTTATAACATTACGCCACACTGAGAACATTATAATCATTCTTTCTGTTGCTTTCCAGAAACTCCTTCCGCTGGAACAACCAATATTGCCAAGTAAGGCATTTACATTTTATATTTTCTATGATGTTGATTGAGGTATTCACACTTAAAAGTGCAGTTGTCACCTCAAAGCCATTTTAAAATGACACTACAGGCATAAACATTTTTTCATGTACTGATCAAGTTTGGGATTTTTTGTCTATTTTGCTTCCATAACGTGTCATCTTCCAGACTAGTGGAAAGAAAACACCCAAAATACACATTTAAGTGTTTATTTTATTACACTTTAAAATCAATTTCAATCTCAATCCATATCTTTAAAGAGTTTTTTTCTCTTACATATAGGGGTGTGCGATATGTCGTCTACGATAATATCGTAATTGTTGTTTAAACGATATGTGATTTGACATTATCGAGTATATCACAAAAACACACCCAGAGAGCGCACACACATTGAGATGTAGGTTACACTACTGCGCATGTGCATTTAGAGTTCACGCTTTCACTGCGTGATTTAGTCTATTAAAATACATTTAGAATTCCCCAAAATTCAAGATAAGGGGGCAAATATGACTTTTGACTGATATAGTTAATATCACACAAAGTTTTTTTTTTTTTTTTTGGGATTTTTGGTCTATTTTGCTTCCATAACGTGTCATCTTCCAGACTAGTGGAAAGAAAACACCCAAAATACACATTTAAGTGTTTATTTTATTACACTTTAAAATCAATTTCAATCTCAATCCCCATATCTTTAAAGAGTTTTTCTCTTACATATAGGGGTGTGCGATATGTCGTCTATGATAATATCGTAATTGTTGTTTAAACGATATGTGATTTGACATTATCGAGTATATCACAAAAACACACCCAGAGAGCGCGCACACATTGAGATGTAGGTTACACTACTGCGCATGTGCATTTAGAGTTCACGCTTTCACTGCGTGATTTAGTCTATTAAAATACATTTAGAATTCCCCAAAATTCAAGATAAGGGGGCAAATATGACTTTTGACTGATATAGTTAATATCACACACAGTTTTTTTTTTTTTTTTTTTTTTTTTTTTTTCTTTCTCCAAATATCAGTACGACTGCAAGTGTGATATATTGATTTTATAAAACAATCCAATAAACAAGTTAATATTAATTGACTTACATTTTAGACAAGTTCCTTGTGACAACGAAAATAGTTTCTAACAAAGCCACAGCAGAACAGTTTTGCGTTTCGTTACTGAATCAATCTGCTGTTTGAACGAATCGGTTGAATGAATGACTCAATGACTCACTCATGCAGTGATTTGCCGCCACCTACTGGCGAATTTAGGTTTATATTTAAAGTGTATTACGTATATATAAAGTATCCCTTTTTTCTCCCCAAAATAATTTCAAATATCACTATTAAACGTTTTGTTTTTAAAACATCTAAACATTATGCATTTGCAGGTTAACTGCAATCATGTCCTGTATTAAACAGTCTGTGTGAATGCATCTAAACGCCACTTCAGATGCAGATTCTGTGCTACCTCTGCACTGCAAACACAAATTTTGTTGATACTGATTTCATTTGATTGGTAACAGCCCTATAGTGTCTTACTATTTAAATTTACAACATAATACATTTACAACATTTTATTCCTAACATGGTGAGAATGTTTGTTTGTTTTGTCTGTAGAGTATTTTCTCATCTATGAAGTGATAAAAAGAGAAATCCAAAATCTCCTCTGGAAAAACCTTTAACTTAGGACGTTAGAGAAATTTGTGTTTCACAGACGTACTTTGATTTTAATCCTGTGCAAAAAAATTAAAATAGGCCTAATGAAATTAATAAGAAGAGCCAAATCGAAGCTGCTAAGACTGGCCACTGTAACATCAGCGTCAGGTAAAATACCTGTCTAGATTTCTCTGCTCACTCACGTGGGTTTATTATAAGCAGCCACTTCTATAAACTCATGTGAAGTTTAATTAAATAATGTTTTTATAATAATTTTAAATTATACTAATACAAATTTCCACATCATGTCTAGAAAACACAGCCACCTCTGTAATAAACACATCCGAATTGGTGCATGAAATCACAGGCGTCGGGTGATAAGAATTATAATCTGTGTTTTTTCTCTTCTCTAGGAAAGCGTGGAGTTTAGAGAATTTCGACATTGGCCGAGCTCTGGGCAAAGGCAAGTTTGGGAGTGTTTATCTAGCCAGGGAACGTCAGACCAAGTTCATCCTGGCGCTCAAGGTCCTGTTCAAAAAGCAGCTGGAGAAAGCCGGAGTGGAGCACCAGCTGCGGAGGGAGGTGGAGATCCAGTCACATCTCAGGTAGAAGTTCTCACCATCTGCCTGTTTTTATCACTCCCGAGTCGCTAGATAGGGTTGGGTATCGTTTGGGGTTTTTTTTGATACCAGTGCCAAATCGATACTTTTAAAACTGTTCCGGTGCCTGAACCAATGCTTATTAACAAAATAAATAAATAAAAATTACCCAAAAAATGATGGATTGGCCATTAGCACTATAAACACATGATGTCTGTTTCATTCATACTGGACGCCAGAGGGCGCCCTCGCATAGAAAATCCACATATCCAGTCACAGAAGAAGCGGAACTCATGACCCTCCAGGAAATCCCTTATATGGACAAAGGCATGGCTATTATAACTGTAACTGAGTAAACAGAACATATAAATGTTTTGAATGATAAAACGAAGACAATAAACACTCGACTACGACAATATAGTTTATCTGTGTTATTCAAGCCGTCTCTGGTATTTTCATAATAATTAAGTATATTTATAATCCATTGCTAATCGATGTATTGTTTTTAAAGTAGCCTATGGAACATATTTTCTGCCTCATTCTGTGACAAGAAGCCTCATCAGATCACAGAAGGAAGCATTTGACTGGTGTTGTGGAGTAAAAAGGTTATGTTCTCTTTTGTTGGACAAGTTTAGAAATGTGAATACAAGGGAGGTTTAGCTTTAGGCATTTTAATTTAAGCATGTTTAGCTTAGTTAACGGAAGGCTACCTGCTGCCATCAGAGCAAGTGTAATTGCTGCATTCACGCGCTCCTCGGATGCTCTCATTTTCCGAGTTGTGCTTTTAAGTCGGAATGTGAAAACAACATGGACTCTCGTTACTACAAAGATGTGTTGGGTTTGTATTATTAGAGCTTTCCGACTTGAGTTCACATGCATTTTCTCAGTCGGGAAATTATTTTTCACATGTGGTGTAGGGTTGTGACGGTGAGGAAATTTTCCCACCGGTTAATCGATGTGTGACAACACCGGTAATACCGGTATCACCGTGGTGGGGGGGGGTTAGTTTGTTTGAGTTTCCCTCTTTTCTTCGCTTTCAAATGGCTTGTAAAAATGCCGTGCGCATTTTACTTTCACTTTCAAATTAGCCACAATTCGGCGTTAAGCAATTGTTAGTTTGAGTTTTCCCTCTTTTCCTTGGATTTCTTGGCTTTCAAATAACATTAGCTTGAAAAAGCGCCGTGCGCGTTTTACTTTCACTTTCAAATTTGCGGCAATTCGGCGTTGATTCAATTCAAGCAACAACGTCAAACTCATAGAACTTTTATTAACAAAACGAATATGCCTAATAAAATAACAAATTACTTGGGCTACACAAAGTTTAAATAAGTATATTAAACTGAAAATCAGCAAACACTGTGGAACCAAATAAATAAGAAACGAATATTTAAAAAAACTTCCAGTCAATAGGCTTTTCAAAATCTAAAATATTGCCAAACGGGCGCCTTTGCGTTTCCTTTCTATAAAGGTGTTGCGGCTTAACACCGGTATAACCGAAAACACGTCTATCGCAGCAAGCCTAATGTGGTGCCGGTGATGTTTCTTACGTGTGTTTCGGAGAACCAGTGGACAAATATTTCAATCCATCACTCAGGCATGGCACCGAAATCTGCGTTCGGATTCGGTTCTAGTACATACCAGTTACATAGGTACCGGTGCCATATTGGTACTGGGTTTCGGTACCCAACCCTATCGTTAGACTCGTTTCTCATCAAACTAAATCTGGGAGCATTTGCAAACTTCAGCGCTAGGTCTCGAGAACTGGTTCAAACACACAAAATTATGTCAGAATCCTCGTAAACAGTCGGTTTTGTGAATGTGAACGGTTGAGAAAGAAAACTCATTTGCGACAGCATATATTGGATCAGTGCGTTCGGTCTTAACATGACCGCAGCCTAATAAACCTGTTCCTGTCTGTCATTTAATGTTAAAGAACAAAAGAGACAAATCATTTATTGATCTTCCCTGAATAACTTTTGTAACTTTAAGAATTAATCTATATTTTATTTATTAAAAGAAACCTATGCAGTGTTATTTTACATTTGATTTATATTTAAATTTCTGTACCTGAACTTTGTTTGGTTGTATTTACTGCTGCTATTGCTAATTTGCTCATTTGTTCTTATTGTTCAAACATTTTTAATGTATGGTTTGTTAGGATAGGACAATATTTGAAAATCTGGAATCTGAGGGTGCAAAAAATCGAAATATTGAGAAAATCATCTTTTAAGTTGTCCAAATGAAGTTCTTAGCAATGCATATTACTAATCAAAAATTAAGTTTTGATATATTTACGGTAGGAGATTTACAAAATATCTTCATGGAACATGATCTTTACTTAATATCCTAATGATTTTTGGCATAAAAGAAAAATCTATAATTTTGACCCATACAATGTATTGTTGGCTATTGCTACAAATATACCCCAGCGACTTAACACTGCTTTTGTGCTGCAGGGACACATATATGTTTGATATTTAAACACTTTACGTAATTTTTAAAATACTTTATTGGAATTGTAGCTGGGAATCATTAAGATGCTGAGATGCATGCATTCGGAAAGTACGATCTGTGTGTTGAACTTGCTGTCTCTTTTCAGACACCCCAATATCCTGCGTCTCTACGGTTATTTCCACGACGCGGCGCGCGTTTATCTCATCCTGGAGTTCGCTCCTAAAGGAGAACTGTATGGAGAGCTCCAGCGCTGCGGGACGTTCGACGACCAGCGAAGTGCAACGGTAAGAAACCACTGTGCGCTCCTGTTTCGAATGCTCACGATTAATGCATGAGGACTGATAACATCTCATAATAATGTCTGTTTGCAGTATATAATGGAGCTCGCAGACGCTCTGAGCTACTGCCACTCAAAGAACGTGATTCACAGAGACATCAAACCTGAAAACCTGCTGCTGGGGGCCAATGGAGAGCTGAAGATCGCAGACTTCGGATGGTCCGTCCACACACCGTCCTCCAGGTCAGTCAGGTTTAATCATAACTTTGGTGTTGTGCATCTCAGTGTTTGTTTCGTTTACCTTTAAAGTGCTGCATATTGTCCGTGTTTGCGTGTTGGTTTAGGGTTAACGTGCGTTTGTCATGTGTCTGTTAGGAGGTCGACGCTGTGCGGTACGCTGGACTACCTTCCTCCAGAGATGATTGAAGGCAAAACGCACGACGAGAAGGTGGATCTGTGGAGTCTCGGAGTGCTCTGCTATGAGTTTCTGGTTGGCCATCCACCTTTTGAAACCAAGAGCCATGAAGAAACGTACCGCAAGATTTCTAGAGTAAGTGAAATGTTCATAAACTTCCACTAGCTTTGCACAGATGATCAGAACGTCGAAGTTGAAGATCATCTTTGCGAGAATCTTTATTCTTTTGTTGTTTCTGTTTAAGACGTTGAAAATGGTGATCTGTGCTTTTCAGGATCGTATTATGTTAGGTTATAGATCTACAAAATAATTAAAATTCACGTAGGACTGTTGCATTTCTTTCTTTCTGAGAAGACACATGCATTGGCAAATAAATTTTAAACAACATGCATTAATATTGTGATAACACACAACGGTGCAGTTAATTTGATAACATTAATGCATTAAGTTTTTAACACCTGTTATTAATTTAGGTTAATGTTATTTTAGAAATGCACTGTTCCTCATTGATCTATATAATTTTGAATGTATCATAAAAAGAATTAACATTATTAAATGTTAATATGTAGAATTTAACCTTAAACTAGGTTAATATGTGACCCTGGAGCACAAAACCAGTCATAAGGGTACATTTTTCGAAATTGAGATGTATACACCATCTGAAAGCTGAATAAATGAGCTTTCCATTGATGTATGGTTTGTTAGGATAGAACAATATTTGAAAATCTGGAATCTGAGGGTGCAAAAAAATCAAAATATTGAGAAAATCATCTTTAAAGTTGTTCAAATGAAGTTCTTAGCAATGCATATTACTAATCAAAAATTAAGTTTTGATATATTTACGGTAGGAAATTTACAAAATATCTTCATGGAACATGATCTTTACTTAATATCCTAATGATTTTTGGCATAAAAGAAAAATCTATAATTTTGACCCATACAATGTATTGTTGGCTATTGCTACAAATATACCCCAGCGACTTAAGACTGCTTTTGTGCTGCAGGGACACATATATGCTGTAAAAAATGCCTAATGTGATAAACAATCGCATTATAAGAAACTGAGTGATCAGAGGCTCTAGTTCATTTAATTTGAATACATTATGTTCTACTTTTGGAAAATGTGTCGTCAAGATCAGCTGACATTTTTCTAAATAATTTAACCTATTTTGCATAGATAATCTTCAGTCAGTCTGATGTGAATGTGTCTTTATTATGTCTCGTAGGCTTTCACTGTTGTCATGTTTCAGTCTTGGTTGATTCAGGTGTTCATACGTCCTCAAACCATGTCTGTTTCTCTCCAGGTTGAGTTCACCTATCCGGCTCACGTGAGCGAGGCCAGCAGAGACCTGATCAACAGACTGCTGAAGCACAACCCCATGCACCGGCTCCCCATCCAGGGCGTCATGGAGCACCCGTGGGTGCTGGAGAACTCCTCCAAGAAGCCCACCACTCACACGCCAGCCAGCGACTGAGGACCAGATTCACTCTTCAGACGGGAACGTGTGGAACTCATGTGGCCGTAATTCGTCTGATCATCTTTGCTGCCACTCTTGGGAATAACTTTATGATTTGTATGTTGTTGTTATGTGTTGTGCTGTTAACATGCTACAATTTACATGCATTTGTAAATATGTAATTAAGACACAAATTGTAACGTTTTAACCATTACTTGAATCAGAATGAGCTTTATTGCCAGGTATGTTTACACATACCAGGGATTTGTTTTAGTGATGGAAGCTCCACAGTGCAACAGAATGATGAAACGGTATAAATGTGAATGTTTGTGAGGATCTCAATATAGAACTTTTAATGTATTTCGCTTTTTGTGTTTGGGAATAAATTCCTTTAATATACTGTTGAATGCTTTTTTTTTTTTTTAAATTTTGATCTTAAATACATGGATATTTTTTATAATGCTCAATTATCAGTAGATGTGATGTTTTTATCACAGGATAAAAACATCATGTTAACCGTTTTTAACCAGCCGCTGTGCTAGTTGAGGACAGAAGGAGGAATGGAGCTGATGCTTTGTAAATAGTAGTGTTTCTTTCGATCGAATCTCGTTGGCGCTTTCGCATATTCAAACTTCGCGCCACACGAAGTGACCGTTGACCGTTTGCAAATTTGAATATGCAGGCGTGAGATTTAAGCGCGGATTCTCAGCGAATAACTACGTGAATTTCTGCTATTAGAGCTTTATTTTAGTGTTTTAAAAAAAAGTAAACATCATGTTAACCGTTTTTAACCAGCCACTGTGCTAGTTGAGGACAGAAGGAGGAATGGAGCTGATATTTGTAAATAGTAGTGTTTCTTTCGATCGAATCTCGTTGGCGCTTTCGCATATTCAAACTTCGCGCCACACGAAGTGACCGTTGACCGTTTGCAAATTTGAATATGCAGGCGTGAGATTTAAGCGCGGATTCTCAGCGAATAACTACGTGAATTTCTGCTATTAGAGCTTTATTTTAGTGTTTTAAAAAAAAGTTTGTTAGGCTTTGATCCATGTGGACTTATTCTGCTAATTATCTCTCTCAAATGTATTACTTCACACTGTTTGGAGCGACAATGAGGGTGAGTAAATACAGATTTATTTATTTTCCGTTCGTTCTATCAATTGCAAACAATATTTTAACAAAATATTATTATAATCTGGTATTTTTGTTGTTAGACACTGTTAACAACACCTTAGCACGGCAGTCCATTTGCAAAAAGCGATCTTGTCCGTTTCCGTAAATGTTTAGATGCTTCAAAAGGCGTTTCTCTCTTTGTGAACTTAAAAGTTCCGCGTGGGGAAACTCAAACGGTAGCGGCTGTACTTTTCTAACCCTGTGAAATGTTGAGCTTGTTTATGTACAGCGCTCTCGTCTTGTTTTCGGCAGTATTTCATGTTGCCACCAGGTGGCGCTACAGTCACAGTTTCTCAGGCATCGCGTGGTCCAGTATGAGGGTGAGTAAATACAGATTTATTTATTTTCCGTTCGTTCTGTCAATTGCAAACAATATTTTAACAAAATATTATAATCTGGTATTTTTGTTGTTAGACACTGTTAACAACACCTTAGCACGGCAGTCCATTTGCAAAAAGCGATCTTGTCCGTTTCCGTAAATGTTTAGATGCTTCAAAAGGCGTTTCTCTCTTTGTGAACTTAAAAGTTCCGCGTGGGGAAACTCAAACGGTAGCGGCTGTACTTTTCTAACCCTGTGAAATGTTGAGCTTGTTTATGTACAGCGCTCTCGTCTTGTTTTCGGCAGTATTTCATGTTGCCACCAGGTGGCGCTACAGTCACAGTTTCTCAGGCATCGCGTGGTCCAGTAATGAGAAAATGGCTCCTCTGGTTGAACTCGAATTCCCACAATGCACCACGACCGAAATGTGCCAAAAATTTTCCACACGCGTTCATTACGTTAATATAGAAACGGTCTTAAATTTCTCCTTAGACAATGATGGTGTAATGCATTGTCATGCAGAAATATTTTGTGCATATATAAAATCTAAATTACAATATTTTGTGTAAATGTTATTGAAATGTCATGCATTTTTGAAAATGATATCTTCCCATAGAATTTAACTGTCGACCCGTTTTGATGTTTTTTCTTTTGTTCAGGCGCTCGCACGCACACAAACCATACTGAATGCGCATCTCAGTATTTTATTCTTTTTTTTTTTTTTTAACCACATTAGCATTGTATATATAAACCCTACAATGAATGTAGGGTTTATTTTCACACGCGTTCATTACGTTAATATAGAAACGGTCTTAAATTTCTCCTTAGACAATGATGGTGTAATGCATTGTCATGCAGAAATATTTTGTGCATATATAAAATCTAAATTACAATATTTTGTGTAAATGTTTTTGAAATGTCATGCATTTTTTAAAATTATATCTTCCCATAGAATTTAACTGTCGACCCGTTTTGATGTTTTTATTTTGTTCAGGCGCTCGCACGCACACAAATCATACTGAATGCGCATCTCAGTATTTTATTCTTTTTATTTTTTTTAACCACATTAGCCCCAGTAACTGAGAAACACTCCGTCCAGATGTCTGACTGAGTGCTCGCATGTGTTCCGAGGGCAAAAATCTGTCTAGTATTTTCTGTATGAGTTCACTTCATTCTGTCATTGGCTGTTGCAACACGTATGAAACACGAATGACAAGTTGCATTTATTTTTTGCATTATAATTTATTTAATAAATATATTCATAGGACAATATGTAATGCATTTATTAACTGCGGTCATTATTTTTAATATTTACTGAATTAAAGCTGCCCTATTTTTCCAACCGTAATTGTGATCAGCAATAGCATATTTGCGCAGTCAGCCGGAATGCATCAGATATGGCTTTTATTTTTCTATTTCAGGAGTTATCAGAAAATTGGATTCTTGAAAATGCATTTCCCCATTTAACAACAATAAATGTATAAATGATGTAATATTGTGAACCTGTTTATGATGGATGTGCTCTCTAGTTTGGAATAAATCTCTGAGAGGTGGGACTCGACTGATTTATTGTTTTGTAGATTTATTCTGTTTTGAAGGGAAACAGATGCACGTGTTTCATTTTTTTTTCCATATCACACAAAACCAAAAAAACAGTTGTACGATATAATTTCACGCGTTTCTTTATTCGTCAATATATTCATTTTCACGATATATGATAACGATTTTGTGATATACATTCCATCTTTTAAACCACAATAACACATCACATACGGTTTTATAACATTTCCACAGCACCCATTGGATTGCACAAAATGAAAAAATGTCTTATGCAAGTCCCTTGATTTCGATCCAACGACGCTAGAATACATCTCACCGAGGGGAACATTAACTTTATTAATAGTTTAAAATTACGACATTTGATATCCGATAAACAACGCAATGCTCAAAATGGAATTTTAGTGATTCGAGTTGTTGGGTTGTTTTATACCTTCCATAATTTCTTCTGGAATTTCCGACGAATTTTCGTTCTCCTTTTCATTATCTTCGCGTCCAGCGACTCTTTCTTGTTCGTTATTCGATGTCTTGTAAAAACACGAGTCTCTTTGTGTGTTTTCTGGCAAAGAGCAATTGAAACGCAGCGTGTGAATAAACCCTCGTTTTCATCTGAATATCTCTAATACTGCATGGACATCATACGATCAAAATGCATAGTTAAAGTACTTCTATTCACCGTCCAGTTATTATTATTTTCTATCTTGCCCTCTCCGTTTTGGTTCAGTAAATGCAAACGATAATAATCAAGAATTAAATGCGTCCTCAAATCGAATTAAGGAAAACCCATCAATGTACTCTATTGTGTTTATTGCCACAGCGTTGGTCCCCTGTCATTAATTAGATGTGTTGTTGTTCTTAAGCGTGTGTTGCAGGAGATTTGCACTCTCACAGCATTGCTTTGCTTTGCTCAGCTGAATGTCTTGCACTCAGATGCAATGAAATGAGTTCTTCCTCGACTCCAGGGCCAAATCAAAGCTGAAATAAATCCACTTGTAAACCATTTTCTCGCTTAACAACAAAAATATAGGTTTGCTCTGGTATCTATTTGTGTAACGCGCTGCTGTCCAAGGCTGGATGCCTAAAGATTTGCATTTGAACTGATTTATTTATTGTGTGTTAAGCTCATATTTAAATGAGCCTGGGTTAAATGCTTTTGTATTTATTTATCTTTTCTGGGGGAAACTTATCGGTTTGGTTATCAATATGTGGGATGCGTAACACTTATCACCGAACTACCACCGCTCATCATGTTCCAGACTAATCGGACAGGTTGTATTTGTAGGCCTCGATGAGGCCCTCGACGGAATGGATGAAGCCGGAAATACTGCATATACCCCCGATCACGAATATGGCGACGTCGAAGAAGACCTGATGCCACAAGAGCTTTCTCCACAACAACTTGAGATGAAATAAGCTGGGGAGGAGAAAGCACAGACCCGCGCCCGTCAGGCTTCCCGTCAGACCCATGAGGAGCGCGAAGTGCGGTACATAAATAGCCATGAGCATAGTGAACACAACTAGTGCACAGCGGAGCGAAAGCCCCCATGATTTGAGACGCCCGTCGCCCCCGTAGCAATCCGGGAAAAACGCACGCCCTCCTTCTTGGAAGAAAGACTTTTCCAGGACCTCCACGGCGGCGAAGAACGGCAGCGGGTACGAAAGCAGCGCCTTGGACACCAAGAAGATGTTAACAATGGCTCTGATGCTGGATGGTAGGTTGTCGGTGATCACCTCCTTGGTTTCGTCGGCCCACGTCAAATAAGCCACCAAGGCGAACAGGCCTTTGAGGATGCAGGCAGCGATGTGAGTCCAGTTCATCATGCAGTGGAACTCGCTGGGCTTCTGCATGTTCCCCTCCAGCGAGGGCAGGAAGATCTGCGAGGTGTAGCTGAAGACGATGATGCCGATGGAGATGGGGAACTTCTTGACGTCGATGTAGAACTTCACCTTGTCCCAGGCCCAGTCTCGCGCCCTGGACAGACAGTATGCGATCACTAGGACATTGATGATGAAGTGCGCGATGGTGCAGAGCAAGCTGAACTTGGACACGGCTTTGAGGTTCTTGAGGAAGGCGCAAGGCAGAAGAGCGGCGGTGGCGATGATGGCCCAAGACCTCTGGGACACGGGGAGGTTGGGGAAGCTGTTGTACATCAGGTTTCCGCTCACGACGACGTATAAAATGCAGGTCATCACTAGCTCGATGATTTGGGCTACGTTGACGACGTGGCCTCCCAGTGAGGGGAAGCGCGGCGCGCAGCACGCATTGGCAATATCCACATACGAGTCTCTCACTCGTACCA